GACACAAACGCAACATGCAGACAAACTCCATGAAGGACCTCAGCATGGATGCCCACATCAAAGCCATGAAATGCATTCTCTCCTTTTTCATAACCTACAGCATCAACTTTGTATTTTTTATCTTGACACTGACCTATGCAATGAAGAGGCAAAATCACCTGGTGTTTCTTTTTTATATATTTCAGTATACTTTTCCGGGTTTTCATTCCCTTATTGTAATTTTCAGCAATCCCAATCTGGAAAAGACACTGCTAAAGATTCTATCCTATATGAAATGCAAGTTTTGCATGACGTAGACACAGGAACAAAACCCTTTGCAAAATGTGACTATTTCTTTAGAGCAAACAAGTCAATTAATTTCCAGTGCAACTCTCCGGGCAATGTAGATGACACAGATGTTCAGAATACATCCTTCAAAGTCTTCGACCTAATATTGTTGTGATTTAAATCTATCATTATTCTCATTTAATTTAGATGAACATGTTGATCCCTGTCACTCTCCAGATGTGGTCACTGACGCACAAACAGCCATGCAGGAATGGCCGTGGGGTGCACAGGTGGGTGCAGAGCCCACTTCCCACACCAACCCTGAGTGTCCTCTCTGCCCCACTTCCTGCAAGAACAGGATTGCCCCGCTCTGTGGGACTGCTCTCCTGCTCTGCTTTTACTTGTTTGTGTGCATCGTGCAGAGTGGAATAAATTCCTGCTGTCAACTGGCAGTGACCCACGGGCAGATGTATGGGGTGCTCGGGCCAGGTGCTGGCTGCTGGGGATCTGTGGGGGTCTCAGTGAGGCAAGGGCAGGGCTGCCCTGTGCCAGGGAAAGCCACTTCAAGGCATTTTTCCAAAGGACCCCCATGCAGGACACAGCTCAGTCCATCAGCAAACACCATGGCTCTTCTGCATGGATAGATTGAAGAACGGGCAAAAGCAGGCCTGGCAGTGTGGAGGGAGGAAAATTGTGAGAAACAGCCCTGCAGCAAACAGGGACAGGGAAGGACAGAGAGGGGTTACTTCATGTGCTGTAGGAGGGATTCCCCTACAGCCCGTGGAGAGGACTGTGGTGAGCCAGCTGTGCTCCCTGCACCCCATGGAAGTCCACGGTGCAACAGAGATCCACCTTCAGCCCTTGGATGACCCCACACAGAGCAGGTGGGGTGGGTGAACGATTGCAACTCATGGAGCTCTTGCAGCTCATGGAGAGCTCACACTGGAGCCAGTTTATCCTGATGGACTGCAGCCCGTGGAAGAGACCCACACTTTAGCAGGGGAAGAGCGTGAGGAAGGACTGAAGCAAAGAACCTGTTGCAATCTGACTGTCACCCCCATTGCCCATCCCATTGTGCTGCTGGGAGGGATGAGGAGGTAGAGAATCTGAGAATGAATTGAGCCTCGGATGATTGGAGGGTGGAGACCAGGTGTTCTAGTTTTGTGTTTATTCCTCTTCCTCCTACTCTCTTTTCAATAGGCAATAAATTCAGTTGATTTTCCCCAAGTCGAATCTGTTTTGTCCCTTTTCCAAACACGGTCTATAACATTGTCTTGCTACCAACCCATCTCTTTAAACAACAACTCCCCAGAAACTACCAAATAAATAACTAATGCCACTTCAGAACATTTCAGCCCCCCTTCTCTGTCTAAACAGGATTTGGGGTTGAATTAATATTTCCATAAAAAGTTCATAACACCTGCCCAGAGGAGACTTTTATTCTCTTTCCCAGGATTGTATTCTGAAACAATTGTGACCTTCTGAGCATTGAAGTTGAGTTATGGACTTGAATGGATTTGCCCAGAAGAAATGGGGCATCTAAGAGTCTAAGTAGCTAGCAAATCCAGGCTAAGCATCAGGGATTTTCTACAGTAAAGGAGAAAGACAAGGATTGTGTAGAGGGAAGGGGTTTGGCCATGTCTCTCACATCCCACATACATGTGTCCCTCAGATGCAGAAATAGAGAGGTCAGATGCCATTTGAGGTGCACAAGGGCTTCCAAAATATGCACATGGGCTGATAGATACGAAGTCTGGGAGATTCCTTCCCCTTCTTGAGTGGTGCTGGAGGGGATGGACTTGAATTAAAACCTAACCCTTGCACTTCAAGGACTTGAGCCACACATTCCAATTCATTGAAAACCCAGCATTGGAGACTCTGATTTACACTCTTATACTCTTTCTAAATTGTCAGATTCCCCAGACACGGCTGAATTGAAACCCCAGTCACAGCAGGGTCCGGCAGGTGTAACACTTTCATTTAATGTCCCTGTACAAACACAGTCCCAGCACAGACAGTTCACCTTCAGACCTGTTGTAGTAGGAATTCCTTCTATTCTTTTCATATACTAATGGAAAGAAGAAGAAGAAAATAAGTAGGAAAATAATAAACTATCAAAAACTGTCCAACATTATAACACATTTTCTATTCTGTCAGTAAAAGCACAGGAAAGACAAAGCAAAGCATAAAGAGGAGAACAGGCAGTATCAGGAAATGGAAATTGTCTCAAGGCAATGCTCTGCCTTCCATCACCACCAACAATTATCAAAAGAAAGAATATTTTTTAATGACTGCAGACAAAACTAATTTGCTCAGTGTACATGACAAAGGGACAGAGGAACCCAGATTCTAAATCCTCCCAGGGGTCAAACATGTGTCCCCCATAAAATTACAACATTGTCCACTGCAAGAAAACATCTCCACTCTTTGTGTCACTCAACACAACCCTCCTGAACAAACATTCAAATACTGCAGAGTGACGCTGACACCAGGTAAGGGGATACCCAGCACATTTACATCCCTGCACCTGCCCTGCTCTCAAGGGGAGCGGCACCACAATCCCCCCACCAGCAGCTCTATCCACCACGTTATCCACCAGCACAGCCACAGTGCACAGCCCAGATGGAGAGATGCAGTGATGTGCCCAGTCTGGGGAAGCTGACACAGCAGAGATGGAAGAGCTCAATGGGAGGGGCTGCCCAGTGCTGGCAGGGTATGGAAATCTGCTTTGGGTCACATTCCAAGTTTTCATGATTGAGAAGTGAAACAGTTAAAAATGCTTTTGCCATGGAAAAGTGTTGATGAGCAGAGGGATAGCTCGGGAGTGACATTAATAAAACAAAACTCCATAGTAAATGACATAAAAGCAGTCTGGAGAGCTGGAGAAAGTCAGCCTGTACCTAATGCAATTACTATAGAGCTACTTTTCAGGCTGGAAGGGATGTTAAACTTCCTCTAATTCCAAACCCACTACCATGGTGGGATAGAAGGGTCCGACCATTTCCCTCCATAGCAGCTGTTCCACAGAGCATTCCTCTCCTGCTCTTAATGACATCAACATCCTTCTGTTAACAGTGTAATCCCAATCTACACTCCTGCTGGTGTTGGTTTAGATCAGCAGCAAATACCAGTAAGAAAACATCACTTTGAGAAAGGGTTTTTCAGTTCATCTTCAGACCCTCTGCTATTGAAATAACTGATACTCTCCTCACAAATATATAAGCAAAGAGGAAGGAGAAAACAACAACAACAGACAAAGACAAAAAACTCAAACCTTAAATCTACACCATGTTTTCTGTTCTGTCAGCAAACCCAGAGAAAATTCACACTAGAGCATAAAGCACATGCCATGAGAGGAAATGAAAAATCTGAAGGCAATGCTCAGACTTCCATCAACAATATCAGCTATCAAAAGAACCACTATTTTTGCATGACTGCATTCAAACCAAGCCCTGACACTGGCATTTTCTAGGCAATATGAAATAAAGGGTAAAGAAGATCTCACCAGAATTTTATGAAAAATCCATGGATTGTCTGAATGTATTTCAATGCAAAGTGTGGTAGGTACCATGTTTTGTTGTTCAGATGAACTCCAGGCCTAATATAAAAACATTTCCATGTGTCAGTGCTGTAGCGAGAGCCTTCCCAAACACATGCAAAGATAAACATGTGATAGGAGTCTTGACATGACATAGTGACATGACATTTATGTCCCTAAGAAAAAAGAGCATCACCATTCTGAAGAGAGAAAATGCTGGGCCTTTATTTCTTGTAACCAGAGAGCTCTTTCTTGGGACTTCATTTTTTCCTGGTTACATCAGAGCATCAGCTGAGGCCTCGTTGGTACCTGTGGTCCCGTTGTGCAAGGTCCTGCACTAACCCAGAGTCTAAGGGCCCTCCATGCCCTACAGGGCTCAATAAACCTTGCCTATTAAAAACCTCAAGAGCTTTCAGAACTTAAATTAACTTAGAAACTTGTCAGGATTCCAGGGTGCAGGGAATCCAGCATGGATTTCGAAGACTTTTCATATTGCAAGCAGATGAGATTTGAATCCTGGCACAGAGACTCGTGCTGACTTTCATCCTTTTCCTGCAAATTCTTCAACTTAATCCTGGAAAAGATTCTTCATTCAATATTCTCCCACACTGAAGAGTGAAGAGCCCACATGTGGCTCTTCACTAAACATTAAGGTATTAAGAGTAGGGAAACTAACAGGAATTTCAGTGCCTGTGAAGGATCAAAAGGAACTCCTGTTTTCCAGCACCTTGGTTGAACTTCACAGCTCCAGGACCCTCAGATGAAAGAGCACAGTGACTCCCCTGACTGTACTCTGCTGAGAGCAAACTCTGCTCACCAAGAACATCACTGCTGGTCAAGGAACAGAAGAACCCAGGTCATGGAGCCTGACAGGGGTCAAACAAGGGTCAGTCACAGAATCACAACACTGAACTCTGCACAAAAACATCTCCATTCTTTGTGCCACCCAACACAGCCCTCCTGAACCAACATTCAAATACTGCAGAGGCACACTGACACCAGGTAAGGGGATACCCAGCACATTTACATCCCTGCACCTGCCCTGCTCTCAAGGGGAGCGGCACCACAATCCCCCCCACCAGCAGCTCTATAAAGCTCCTCTTTCCAGACGGGACACTCAGGGAACAGCAGCCGCTGACCTGCCCTTGGCATTGGTGCAACAGCTCCCTTGTCCAGCACAGCACTGCTCCCAGCTCCCAGGATGAAAGCTTGTCACTCTTCAGAGATATCCAATATCACCTCATATGGTGCTGCATCTGTGACCATCGGCACTCTCCAGGCGTTTGCTGGCATGTGGATAAATGCTTTCATTGTTTCTGTGATTTGCACGTCCTGGGTGAGAAAGAAAACCTTGAACTCTAATGAGAAGATCTTGCTGGCTGTGGGATGCTCCAGGTTTTGGTATTTGTGCATCTCATGGGTATATTTCCTTCTCTCAGTAATTTATCCCAATTATCTTCATGTTCACCCCATATATCAATTACTTAAGAGTGCTCAGAACTTTCTTAATTGTTCCAACTTTGGGGTTTCAGCCTCTCTTTGTGTCTTTTATTGTATAAAAATTGCCAATCTCAGGAACAGCTTCTTCATCTACCTGAAAGTAAAAGTTGACAAGATGGTGCCCTGGCTCTTGCTGGGGTCAGTGTTTTTCTCCCTGGTTATCGGAACTGTTGTCTACAAGGTCGCTGATAAAGCTTTCTGTAAAAACCTCAATTTCACCTGCCAAGGATGTATTTGGAAAGCAAGTATCAGACTGGAAGAACTTTTGATTTCTAATTATTTTATCCTTGGCTTTGGATTTGCCACACCATTCACAGCAGTCATCATTTCTGCCCTTCTGCTTCTCTTTTCCCTCTGGAGACACAAACGCAACATGCAGACAAACTCCATGAAGGACCTCAGCATGGATGCCCACATCAAAGCCATGAAATGCATTCTCTCCTTTTTCATAATGTACAGCATCAACTTTGTTTTTTTTGTCTTGACAATGATTTATGCAATGAAGAGGCAAAATCACCTGGTGTTTCTTTTTTATGTATTTCAGTATGCTTTTCCAGCTTTTCATTCCCTTATTGTAATTTTCAGCAATCCCAATCTGGAAAAGACACTGCTAAAGATTCTATCCTATATGAAATGCAAGTTTTGCATGAAGTAGACACAGGAACAAAAGCTGGAGCCTTTGCAAAATGTGACTATTTCTTTAGAGCAAACAAGTCAATTAATTTCCAGTGCAACTCTCCAGCCATTGTAGATGATACAGATATTCAGAATACATCCTTCAAAGCCTTTGAACTAATATTGTTGTGATTTAAATCTGTTATTATTCTCATTTCATTGAGATAGTTTCGAGAGCTATGTTACTGTCGACAGCAAAATCATTTTGACCTTGTTTACTGGCTGTAAAAGGGCAATAACAATAGTGCGAATCTGCCACAAATGCTTTGTCATCTTCTGATTGAAATGACTGAACTAAAGAACAGGCTAAACAACAGGTTTATCTCTGTTACAGTTGACAATTCTTGCTGCTGTGGCCCTGTTCTAGTGTAAGATGATGAGCTGTATCACTGTCTGGCAGGGGTTGATAACTGAGGTGTGAACATGTTGATCCCTGTCACTCTCCAGGGGTGGTCACTGATGCACAAACAGCCATGCAGGAATGGCCATGGGGTGCACAGGTGGGTGCAGAGCCCACTTCTCCCACCAGCCCTGAGTGTCCTCTCTGCCCCACTTCCTGCAAGAACAGGATTGCCCCGCTCTGTGGGACTGCTCTCCTGCTCTGCTTTTACTTGTTTGTGTGCATCGAGCAGAGTGGAATAAATTCCTGCTGTCAACTGGCAGTGACCCACGGGCAGATGTACGGGGTGCTCAGGCCAGGTGCTGGCTGCTGGGGATCTGTGGGGGTCTCAGTGAGGCAAGGGCAGGGCTGCCCTGTGCCAGGGAAAGCCACTTCAAGGCATTTTTCCAAAGGACCCCCATGCAGGACACAGCTCAGCCCATCAGCAAACACCATGGCTCTTCTGGATGGATAGATTGAAGAACAGGCAAAAGCAGGCCTGGCAGTGTGGAGGGAGGAAAATTGTGAGAAACAGCCCTGCAGCAAACAGGGACAGGGAAGGACAGAGAGGGGTTACTTCATGTGCTGTAGGAGGGATTCCCCTACAGCCCATGGAGAGGACTGTGGTGAGCCAGCTGTGCTCCCTGCACCCCATGGAAGTCCACAGTGCAACAGAGATCCACCTTCAGCCCTTGGATGACCCCACACACTGCAGGTGGGCTGGGTGAATGATTGCAGCTCATGGAGCTCTTGCAGCTCATGGAGAGCTCACACTGGAGCCAGTTTATCCTGATGGACTGCAGCCCGTGGAAGAGACCCACACTTGAGCAGAGGAAGAACGTGAGGAAGGACTGAAGCATAGAACTTGTTGCAATCTGACTGTCACCCCCATTGCCCATCCCATTGTGCTGCTGGGAGGGATGAGGAGGTAGAGAATCTGAGAATGAATTGAGGCTCAGATGATTGGAGGGTGGAGACCAGGTGTTCTAATTTTGTGTTTATTCCTTTTCCTCCTACTCTCTTTTCAATAGGCAATAAATTCAGTTGATTTTCCCCAAGTCGAGTCTGTTTTGTCTGTGACAGTAATTGGTGAGTGATCTCCCTGTCTTTATCTTGACACATGAGCTTTTTTCCATCCTATTTTCCACCCCTGCCCTGTTGTGGAGTGAGAGGGAAGGAGCAACTGGGTGGAGAGTCTGACAGCTGTCCACGGTCAACCCACCATGACAGGGCCTGTAAACATGAAGTAGACCAGTGCTGAGGAACACATTCAGTGCAGACAGCTCAGTGTGCAACAACAGTGAGAGCTGCAGGTTGTGTGGAAATGGAGGGAGCCCCAGGCATGGTGCCAATGCCTTGCACAACAAAGGGCCCAGGGACCTGTGGCACCACCCAGGTGACCAGACACTCAGAGACATAGCAGGAGCAAATGATTCAGAAGGAAGACCCCAAAATATCAGCTGCATACACTGGAAAGGTACAAAACCCCAAGCTTAGAATCCCTTCTCACAGGCACCCAGCTCAGGCTGCTTCTGTGTTACTGTGCCATGACTGAATTGCTTTAAAGATCCAGATGTCTGAGACTCTGCTATGGGAAACCCAGTGTGCAGCTGGTAAGGAAACCTGGTCTGACTCTGGGCCTGTGGTCTGTGTAGGAGCTCAAGTGGGGCACCCGTGGGCTCACAGGAGCTGCCCCCTGCAAAGGGGCTTCAGTCCCAGCAGTGAAAGGCTCTGGTAGGGGGCGGAAAAGCCAGAGAGCCTCCTGGATGAGGAGACGGGAAAGTTTCCTTAACACCAGCACAAACAGCAGAACCTCAATTGTTTCTTTATTTCACCAGCTCAGGGGGCTCTTTTACCTCATGCTCAGACCCACCAGTGCATTTCTCATAATATTAAAAGCTTCAAAAAGCTTTTTGAGAGCACACCCTGTGAAACAAAAGCATCACTGGTGGCCAAGAGACAGAAGAACACAGATCCTGAATCCTCAAGGGATCAAACAAGGATCAGTCACAGAATCACAACACTGACCTCTGCACAAAAACATCTCCTCTCTTTGTGTCTGTGGGTGTGGTCTGTGTAGGGGCTCAAGCCGGGCAGCCATGGGCTCACAGGAGCTGCCCCTGCAAAGGGACTTCAGTCCCAGCAGTGAAAGGCTCTGGTGGGAGGTGGGGAAATACTACTGTCAAAAACCTTCCTCTCTCTTGATGAAATGAGAGAAAGAACCATTTAGTCCAGAGCAACCTCTCAACCACTGTAATATAAGGTTGAGTGCCTGTGGACCAAAATCAGGGGGAAGACCAACAAGACTGACATCATCATGGGTGTCTGTTACAGACCGCCCTACCAGGATGATGAAGGGGATGAATTATTCTACAAGCAACTGGCAGATGTCTCGAAATTGTCAGCCCTTGTCCTTGTAGGTGACTTTAACCTACCGGATATCTGCTGGGAGCTCAATACTGCAGAGAAGAGGCAGTCTAGGAATTTCCTGGAGTGTATAGAGGACAATTTCCTTCATCAACTGGTAAATGAACCTACCAGGGGTAAGGCCCCGCTAGACCTGCTGTTTACAAACAGAGAGGAGCTGGTGGGAGATGTAGTGGTTGAAGGCCGCTTAGGAAATAGTGATCATGAAATAATAGAATTTTCAATACTCAGAGATTCAAGGAGAAACAACAATAAAACCTCTACACTGGACTTCCGGAGGGCAGATTTTGACCTATTCAGAAGTCTAGTCCAGAGCATACCCTGGGAAACAACCCTTGAAAACAAGGGGGTCCAGGAGGGATGGATGTGCTTCAAACAGGAAGTTTTGAGTGCACAGGAACAGGCCATACCGGTGTGCCGAAAGCAAGCCGGCGGGGAAGACAACCAGCCTGGTTAAACAGGGAGATTCTGAAGGAAATCAGGGATAAAAAGAGAGTTTATCGACTACGGAAGAGAGGGTTGGCTACTTACGAAGAATTCAGGAAGACAGCTAGATCATGCAGAAAGAAAATCAGGGATACAAAAGCGCAATTTGAAGTTAAATTGGCCACTTCTGTTAGGGATAACAAAAAGTCCTTCTATAAATACATTAATAAGAAAAGGAGGGGCAAAGAAAACCTCCATTCTTTGATGGACTCGGAGGAAACATAGTTAATAGAGATGAGGAGAAGGCTGAGGTACTTAACACCTACTTTGCCTCAGTTTTTACCAGTAAGACAGGTGGCCCTCAAGGCAACTGGCCTCTGGAGCTGGTAGACAGAGAGAGGAAACCAAATAGCCCCCTGTATTCCAGGAGGAAATAGTTAGTGACTTACTGAGCCACCTGGATCCTCACAAGTCTATGGGACCAGATGGGATCCATCCTAGGGTAATGAGGAGCTGGCAGAAGAGCTTGCCAAGCCGCTCTCCATTATCTTCCAACAGTCCTGGCTCACTGGGGAGGTCCCACATGATTGGAATTTGGCAAATATCACCCCAATCCATAAAAAAAGGCTGCAAGGCTGACCCTGGTAACTACAGGCCTGTCAGCCTGACCTCGGTGCCTGGCAGAGTTATGGAGCAGATCATCCTGTGTGCAGTCACACAGCAGCTACAGGATGGACAAGGGATCAGACCCAGCCAGCACAGGTTTAGGAGAGGCAGATCCTGTTTGACCAACCTGATCTTCTTTTTACGATCAGGTGACTCACCTGGTAGATGAGGGGAAGGCTGTGGATGTGGTCTATCTGGACTTCAGCAAAGCCTTTGACACTGTCTCCCATAATATACTCCTGGAAAAGCTGGCAGCTCATGGCTTGGACAGGGCACTCTGTGCTGGGTTAGGAACTGGCTGGAGGGCCGGGCCCAGAGAGTGCTGGTGAGCGGGGCTGCCTCCAGCTGGCGGCCGGTCACCAGTGGTGTCCCCTAGGGATCAGTGCTGGGCCCAGTCCTGTTTAACATCTTTATCAATGATCTAGATGAGGGGATTGAGTCCATCATCAGCAAATTTGCTGATGACACCAAGTTGGGAGGAGTGTCAACCTACCAGAAGGCAGGAGGGCTCTGCAGAGGGACCTGGATAGACTGGAGAGATGGGCTGACTCCAATGGGATGAAGTTCAACAAGGCCAAGTGCCGGGTCCTGCACTTTGGCCACAACAACCCCTGCAGCGCTACAGGCTGGGCACAGAGTGGCTGGAGAGCAGCCAGGTGGAAAGGGACCTGGGGGTGCTGATTGACAGGAAGCTGAACATGAGCCAGCAGTGTGCCCAGGTGGCCAAGAAGGCCAATGGCATCCTGGCCTGCATCAAGAACAGTGTGGCCAGCAGGAGCAGGGAAGTGATCCTTCCCTGTACTCTGCGTTGGTGAGGCCACACCTTGAGTATTGTGTTCAGCTCTGGGCCCCTCAGTTCAGGAAGGATATTGAGGTGCTGGAGCGGGTCCAGAGAAGAGCAACCAGGCTGGTGAAGGGACTTGAGCACAAGTCCTATGAGGAGAGGCTGAGGGAGCTGGGATTGTTTAGTCTAGAGAAGAGAAGGCTTAGAGGTGACCTCATCACTCTCTTCAACTACCTGAAGGGAAGTTATAGCCAGGTGGGGGTTGGTCTCTTCTCCCAGGCAACCATCAACAGGACAA